ACTTGAATTTTTAGACCTCTAAGGTCGCAATGTTTACAATATCTCAAAATAAGTTATTATACAATTTGGTTCATTTAGGGTAGTATACTAATAAAACTCCAAATGCATTTTTCATTAAATTATGCAAATGAAATAAGAATCTGAATTCATTTTTATAAAATTAAACAAAGGAAAAAAATGTTTGGATGGTAGAATAGTATCTTAATCTAAGTGAGTGGGTTATATGACATATACATTTCTATCTACAATTAGTGATTACAATAGAGCATGACTAAACCTAAAATCATCATAAGGGATTTAAAAATTTCTAAAAATTTTTAGAAAAGCATGTATAATTATATAGAAAAACTTTTAGAGAAGAAGACAAAAATATTTGTTAAAATTGTGCCTATGATTATCACAATTCTTCAAAATGAATTATTAGCTGATTAAATTCTTTTTGCTATTTATTTTTTCATCCAATTATATAGAATCTGAGCCGGATGTATACTTTTTTATGGGATTGTTCAGGTAAGAACCTAATTAAGTATTTTTATCTGATTAACATTCTCCAAGAATAATGTATCAGTTTCCTAACACCTCCCATTGGGTCGCTTTTGTATATAAATAATTACATGACTTTCTGTAGCTAACCCTCATACTTACCCAATTTTTTTTTTAATTAAGTTAATTAAATAATAAGAATTGATCACTTGTGACTAATATTATTTAAAATTAAATATATTCTTAATTTTAAATAAATATATCAAATTAATAAGTTTTTAATAGTCGTTTAAAATAACTAATGCTTTATCAGAATCTCTTTGTGAAAATATGGGAGGATAATACATTTATGAAACCACACTGTATATCTATAATAGTACTATATATACTAACATCATACAACTTTTGAAAATAACTTCTAATTTTTTAAGTTGCTATTAATACTAGTTATGGAATTTTAATGGATCTAAGACCTTATTGCGATACAAGTTGTCGTTATTATGATTTCCAAGGTATTTATTTTTAACTAAACTAATTCATAATTCTATGCATAACAACAAGACTAAAGCAGTCAAAATACGTTCGGACATTTTTACAAGACAATTTTAACATATTAGTTTTGTGATTTGATCACAAATAAATATTTAAATACTAATCTGTATGTCTCAATATTTTATGTAGTACAATGTCTCATATATCAAAAAAGTAATAAATTACTCTTTGATATTATTTTTAAACTTAATACAATACTTATTAACTTCAAATTATTAGCATTCTTAAACAAAAAAGGCATAAACTATTATTTATAACTCAAAAAATCATTATTTCCTTTTAAAAGTATTAATTATTATTATCTTATATAAATACATTAAAAATATTTGTTTATTCTTTAAATAGCACCATGGCATTATGCTACAATGTTAAACCATTTAAAACAAGTAATTAATTGTGTTGCTATATTTTTTAAAACAAAAAATTTACACTCAGCGTCCAATGGTGACATTATTATGTAAATTATATAATCACGTTATTCATTGAAGTATTTTTTCACTTGTTGATAAAAACATTTTAATTTAGTCCAAAAAAGGTTTTTTTTTTATTTATGAAAGAAATTTTTCTTAGTAACTCTTCAATTGAACATTTTTCAAGAAATAATTATACTACTTGTATACGAATAGTGGAATTAATACTTAGTATTCATTTTATTTGTTATCTTTTGTACATGAATTTTTCCAATGAAATAATCATAATAATATAAAAAAATATTTCATCTGAACCCTATATATTTTAGCATTTGTTTTTCAATATTTTGGAACGCAAAAAAATCATTTATTATTAATGTAGTAAGCTAGTATTTATGTTAAAAAAAAAAAAATTAACCAACCTTAGAATTTATGAAAATACTACATAATGAACATTGGCTTGAAAATATAAACTAAAATTTAACTTAATCCATGTGAGTATACACAACCGAACTGTGGGCGACAGAATTGAGTACCCCGGGCGGCGCAATTCCTAAATGCAGTCCTGTTTGTGTATTGACCTGTCTACAGATTCAATAAGTTCATTATAAGTTTTTTATTTATATTAGCGTTACTCGATGACATCAAAATAAAAACATATTGATAGATGTTAAAAATAATCATTTAATATTGTTATGACGGTCGCTCGTGTACAGAAACTACCCAGCGTGTGCTTTTTATTTGTTTTCTTATCTCTATTTACAAACTCAGTAATTAGGACGAAATATTCGGAGTTCGCACAATACCTTCTAAAGTATAAGTTTACATAATACACTGTTCTTCAAAACTTATTAGTACTCTAACACTCCCTTTAATTAATAAAACAATTTAGTTCTATTCTCTTTTCTTTCCTCTTAAAATTGTAAAAAATAAAAAAACACACGTTTTACTTGCTAACAAATAAGTAGATGATCGAACCAAGAAAACACTAATCGTTACATCTTTTGAACTATTGTTGTGGAAGTTATTAGAATTTCTATACCAGGATAGGAGAAGTAGAATGTCATAAATGTTTAGAAATATAAATAAACAGACACCCGTTTCACCTCCAGTATTTTTATGTAAATGTTAATAACTTCTAAAATACTGATTCAAAAGTTGATATACGTCATTTTTTTTACTTAGATCTTTATCTTATTTGTAAGCCAATTATAATTAATATGTACGTTTCCATTTAATTATTATAATGATGGTAAAATTTAAAGGAGAAAGTGGGGAGGTTAGTATACTTTTTTGTGTTAATTTAAGTGCGTAGGATACTTAATAGATCTGAATAGAAAGAAGTTATATTTATCTTATTCTTTTGAAAACACTCCGTAAGACATAGCCAGCGGATCACTCTGTATATGAGTAATATTAATATAACACCTTGATAGCACCCAATGATTTTCGATTTTATCTATAGTAACCCACATTTATTATTTTTATTATTAATAAAAAATATTAATGCCTGGAAAAATAAGAAAACAATACATAACAGTGTATAAAAATAGTTACAAAAAACATTAACACACATCAAAATGAATTATAGTAATACAACCGTAATAATTTTTATTAATACAATATTAATATGTAATAGAAAATATACTTGGTCATTTTTTTAGTAACTATGAAAGGTATTTTGAGGGAATGAGCGAGAAGAAATTGAAAAAAAGTCTGTACTCTTGAAAAAATTGATCACTTTTATAGAAAACATACACGGAAAAGGGCTAAAGAGGCACATATTCAATAAATGTATTCTCGGTGTAATGCTATTCTCTACATAATTAAGTAAGTCTAGAATTATTGTCGTAAACTAAACATAAATTTAATTATATCCTATTAATTTTATGTGTATTATTGTGTAACAATTTTGAAAATATTTAAGAAACAAAAAACCGATTTTCTCGTCATAAGACATATAATTTAAGTGCGATAAAAATAATTTCTTCACTGGGAAAGATTACGTTTCGATCAAAAATATTTATTAGAAAATTCAGTACATTTATTTCTTCTATCAGATTAAATTGTAAGAAAATATTGATTTTAGAGAATAAGCCAGATTACCTATTTAACTGTCACTTTTTATAATTTTTCATACACATAATGAGTATATAGAATGTGTCGGTAAGTAAGGAAACTGGTCAATTGTTACAAACAATGAGGACAACAAAAACCCGTTTTTTTATTTACTGAACACTATATATATTTATTTTTATCTATACTATCTGAGTCGCTTATTTTATTAAATTATTGAATTGTGTTACTAAATTAATAGAATAACTAAAAGTTAAATAAATATGATAAGTAATGAGCCATTCGGACATCTAGAAAAAATAATTTGTCACTATCATCTTAGACAACTAAAAGTATAGATTACTTACTCCCTTATTTAAAAATTTTGCTAGTAGTGTTGACCATACTTAAAGGTCTATAAAACGACGGCAATTCGAGAAGGAAATTATTTTTTCTAAACGATATTTAAATATTTACTTGTCCGACTCGCTGCATTTCTAATCGTTGACCAATACAAATATATTTCAAGTTAAAAATACTATTCCTTGAATGTAATTAATACTTAATATATATTAATATCATTGCGACTTCTGTCGAAGAATCAATTTAACATTGACTATAGGTATTAACAGCTAAGGCGCCCAGCCTATGAAAGTTTGGCACACGTCGAAGGTGTGACAAATGAACCCGTACGACAAAGCATTAATTACCTGGACGCCCTACATTCGAAATTTTCGGTGGCGCCGTCTTCTGCTATTCGATTATCTGCCGTGCCATATTACTTATGATTGCGCCATTGTTAAATGTGCTACCTAAAATTATGCAATTTGAAAACAACGGTATTTTCGTATCTTAAAACCAAATATAAGCTTTTGACGTTTCGGAATAGCAACACGACGCGGTGGCGACTTGAAACATTAATAATGTTATTACAGTGACAATAATTATCTTTCGATGTCAGACCACTCTGGCAGCCGGTTATTTATTTACTAAAAAATAACATTTCTGCCTAGTTTATCTAAATTTATGAATTCATACGCTCCATAATACCAGGAAAGTATCATTTAAATAATCGTCGAGTGTATACATTGTTTGGTCATAGCAATGTTGTTTAACGCAAATCAATGCGTGCACAATTATTCTCTGTAATACATCACGTTATCAAAAGCCACGGTATACATTCTCCATCACAAAAAAAAATAATACAGCAACAATTTAAACGATTAAAGTGACCGAGTGCTCGGGGCGTCCTCTAAATAGTATTTAGTCATAAACATTTTGTTTGTAGTTCAAGCTGGTGCCTTGTCCAATGTGTTATTTACGGTATTTCCGTAACTCGCTCATACCAAATCAACAGCTAGGCCGTCATCGATGGTGGTTTCCGTTTCGTCATTTTACAATTAATAGTGAACCTCCCTCTCGATTTCTGGAACCCAACGCAACCGCATCACAACAACAACACAATACTATCACACTTACGGTTTGGACGAGCGTGTCCGTTGAATATGATTACCTACACACATGTAAACAAACTACCCCAGTAGCGCAAGATCGGTTATTTTTATTAATATATGTTTCCATAATGCACACAAATTATTTTATTTGAAAACTGTATTGCATTTTTACTTTCTACGTCCAAGTAGATTGCCCGAGGAGTGCCAGACGGTTAGCTACGTGTGTCATTTACAGGTTCAATTTTATGGAGTTCTGATAATCTATGTCTAATAAACCAAGGTAACACCTATTAGTCAACTATCAGGATTATTTTTCAAATTAATAGGTTTTAATTTACACATTATAGAATGGTATAAAGTAAAACTAGCGCAGGCAAAAAACCTTTAAGCTTAGTAGGTAATTAGTATAGGTAATGATCCTAATAATCATTTGAATTTGAAAATAACGTAATTAGACTTAAGTTTAAATTTAACACGCATTTAGGAAAAAATCATTAACCATTCAATCTTGGATTGAATTTTATTTTTTTTTATAATTATTATTACTTAAATTAAAACTTAGCACCCATTGCGTAATAATCTACTTTCAACATAAAATATATAAATATTAACTATCGATTCTCTCGTATGGATAGAAAAATGAATTGTTTTAGTAGTATAAAAACTTGACGCTTTCTTAAACACATAACATTTACATTTGAAATTTTAACTTTTACAAATAATACAAACACCAAATCAAATTACTCGGTTTTTTATTTTCATATAATCAATTACATTATTCTTCTAAAGTGATTAAATTTAAACAATCACGACTTATTTTAATGGCTGTTGTAATTTTGTGACATAAGTTGCAAAGATGCTAAGATTAGGGTCTAACTTTTGGGGCATAAAATTCAAACTAACACGGCTTAGAAGTTTTGTATAGTAATTAACATTTACATTTATAAACTTTATTAACAATGACTACTTTATTAATCTTCCATTTCCTTTTATAGAAATAGTTATTATAGTAAACTTGCCAACTGGAATTACTATTTAAATTTTATGTAATATCAGATATAAATTTTACACTTAAGTGTGCTTTGAATAATTTGACAATAACCTAATGTCTAAAATAATAGTCTTAAAATTAATTTTATCTTAACCATTTTTTAAAGGAGGTATTTTTCTAGTTACGCGTAATCTTTTATATTTAATAAGGAAATTAGTTTTTTTTTTAATTATTGAAAAGAGAGTTTCATAGCTGAATTAGAATAATCAAATTAAGTATATAGGCTTCACTTGAGAAATAGGATTTTATTTATATAATCTTTATTTTTTTTTTATACTACGAACAGTTTTAAATTGGCATTGTATGAATAATTATACGGTATATAGCTGAACATTAATATTTGACAGCTTGATTTAAACGGTAGGTAATCAGATCGTGAAATATTTGTTTCGCTAACACTAACGTTTTGTATTTTATTCTATTTAAATAATTAAAAAATTAATTGTCATTATAATTAATTAATTATATATTTTGAATTATATAATATTTTAATATTGATGAAATCGTAATAATTGCTAACACATGAAGATGAAAAAAATTTAGTGGCAATAAATATAAATATTACTTTTTAATTTATCAAATTAATCATTTTTGATTTTCAGATCCGCCTTTATTGCACTATTCCCAAAACGATAATAATTACATGGTAAAAATATTTTATCATATAAAAGGTGTGTGAAAATTTTACTTTTGTATATCCCCCAGGAAAAACCTATTTACGCATTCAATCGTTGTTTAGATCATAAAAATTAATTTTATAGTAAAATCTTATTTTTGAAAGTTAATTAGTTATAATTATATTGAATATATTGGTCTTATGACATTGAAGTATATAATGTTAAAATATTACTTTTCAAACAATCGATTATGGAATACTTGTTCTTTAAGTATTAAATTTCGTCTTTAATTAATTTTAAATGTTGTATATGCTTTACATGAGTGATATTATTCCATATAATATTAATTAGGCGATTTGATAGTTATATAAAGTACAAGTATCTCAAAAAACTCGCGATAATTTAGGTTTTTTGGTGATTAATAGAGTAAAAGTTAGAAATTTTCATTTTAGAAATTTCTGAAATAGAAATTAAAAAAAAGAAATGTATAAATTTGTCTTTATGATAATTTCAAAAAAAGTTTATTAATAATGATGTTTTCCTCCGCTCGTCATTAAAAGCCGAATTTATGTGCATGTAAAAAGTTTAAAATTATATGAATTTTATCATAGAAAATCCTTGAAAAATACATTAAATAATGTTGTTAAAATTAATAAAATATGCAAAAATTATTAATTTTTGACTATAGTCATAAAGTAACAATTTTATATATAATAATGCTTTATAGATTTATATGCAAAAAAGTTACTTAAAATAAATTTCACTTACAAAATTAGGGCTACTTATTATAATTTAACACATATAATTTAAGAAATAATTTATAATCCCTTATGTTCTATTCTACCTTCACCATAATAGTTTTATATTTAATAGAAAGTAATTTCTCAATAATGATATTACTTTTCCTTTTTAAATAGTTGAATAGGTTGGGGTAGACGAATTATCTTTAACATAAGAACTATAAAATACCATTATTTAGTCATATTTTATTTCTCTTTGTTTCACTTTTTATGAAATAGAAAATACAACTAAATAATGTTATTATGTATTTTTTATATTACAGGTGATTTCACTCAATTACAACATAAAAGTAATAAAAGAAATATATTTATAGTTTTTTTAGTTTAAAGTACATTTTTAGTCCATTCCTTATATCCCATAAGGATGTCAATAATATATTTTTTAATAGAAATATACATATTTAATTAGCTTATAAAATAGAAAATGTCCGATTCAACTTAAAATGTATAAAAACGATGTATTGTTGGTTAGATACAGGTTATGATTATTTTCTAGTTATTAACATTTTTATACTTAGGTAAAAGAGGCCGAGGATTGTCTAATATGTTTAAAAGTAATTTAAATTTAATTAAAGTTTAATTTAGAGATTATTCAATAAAGAAAATAGTAAATTTAAAGCTCTTTAATAAAAATGTCTGACTTTTCCGACATTTTTCACAACAATTTCCTCAGTATTCAATTTTTAGAAATTCTACTACACTGGTGTTTAATCGATATGCCTCGTCTTAAATTTTTAATAGATACACGAGTAATTAAGTATGGAATTAAATTTAAAAACTTATTACCAACTATACCTTACAATAAATTGGTAATAGTTTTAATGATGAAAACGACTACTAAAACTATAGTAATTAACTTTGATTATACAACTCTTGAGTGACTTTACTCTTAATTTAGTTTAAGTTTATTATTACTTTAGACTCAATAAAATTTTGTTCTAAAATTTAAAATATGTACTATTTACGAAATAGGAAAAATTTACCAAAATGAAACAATTATGATAATTAGGTCTTTCAATTATTGATAGTTGATTATCATTAAAATTATCACAAATTAGATGGACAGCCTAATATTTATATGAAAAGTTTATGCAGTTTACAATAAAATAAAATATTTTTTTCATTAGAATTATAGCAACTGCAATGTATACATTTAATTCTGGCAAATAAAATTGTAAAACTATTTGGCCCAAACAGTTTGGAAAATAAATATCCATCATAGAAAAATCTAATACATTGAAATTCCAATGGTACTTAAAATTTTTGAGACTAAGAATGATACTACTGGGAAGATAAAATTCATTAGTTGTAAATTTAAAAGTGTCAACATTTATTGAATCTTTTCATTTATCAGCACGTGGACTGTCAAATGTACACTTGAAGTGTTATACAAATTCTATAAGCAAGATAATATATTTATGATTAGCACCTATAACTTACAATATAATGAGACTCACCCATTTCTTTAATATTTTTATCTTAAATGAAACTATCTATGTTTTTACAAATTTTAAGGTGATAATTGCTTAACACATGAATGGATAACTTAAAAAAATAAAAAACTCATAATAATGTTCTCATAATTCAATTCTGAAAAATTTTAGTCTTTTAACAAGATATCTCATACATTTGTATAGTTTCTCCGAATAGAATAACATGTTTTTTTTCTATAACTCAATATTCTATTATACATTCAAATAAATTATTTTTTATAAAATGTTATTTCACATATGGTTCCGTAAACTTTTGTGGAGTGGAGGACATATAGAAGATCTTACATTAAAAGAATAAATACTGGGTGGATAATTTATTCCTTTACATTTATATGAAAATGTTAAGAAAAAAACATTTGTGTTTTCAAATGTTATTCAAATTTCGATATCATATGTTTAAAGCTCATAATTGATTCAAAATATAAATATATTTAATTATATATGCTATATAATACTAGGATCAATATCGAATTAATAAAGAAGATGATAAGGTTAAAGCATTCGAAATATTGTCACTAGAATTAATTACAGAATTTTGCACTATAAGAAATAACTTATACAAATATATATAGGTCATGGTCACAGTCAGGAATGTGGTGTCACTTCTTTTAGAACCATTTGGTTATTATGATTCAGTATTACACGGTTTACACGAAAAATCGTAAAAGTAGGTATTTTTTTAATTAATCAGGTGTCATCGCAACTTGATATTATCAAATAATAATAATATCCATAGATTGCAATTAAGTTAAATGTCAACGAGTTCATCCAGCTCAATAAACACATCACGAAGACTTGAATAAATTGATGTTAACATAAAAAATATTAATAGTCAACAATTTTATTAATTTGAATTACTTTGCTGTGGAGTATTAATTAAGCGGCTCGTCTTGAGAGAAAATTAACTAATTTAATGATATTTGAATTAAATTTGTAAACGATTAAAAACATTATAAAGCAAAATTAATTCATGTATACTTTTATAAAAAATTTAGATTATCATAAATATTATAATCACCTCATTTTTTTTAATTTTATTATTTTTGACCAGAAAACGTATTATTGTGGGAATCAATCGATAAAATTTGAATGTTTTTTTGAACATTAATTTAAGAACATTTAATATTCCTACAAAAGCTTACAATGTTTTCAAAATAAACAGTTTTACAGGCAAAAGCGTCATTGAAAAATACGAAGTGTTATACCGTTGTGATTTTTTAATAGCTGTTAAAAATTGTGTATTTTGCTGACTTAAGCTAACTAGAAGAATAATATCCTCGACAAATAACTATGAAAATGAGTCCAAGTTCCAACCTCCC